TTTATGTACTAAGACACAGTCAAGGGCCATAAACACGTAAAAAGAGAACACAGCTACAGTACCTAATATCCAGCCTTCTTGACTGAGCACCTTTTTCTTGCTGGAAACTACAGTTAACGGCAAGTAGGCAAAATTACCCCAACCTGTCTGCTTGGATAGCCAATCACAGTGAAGGATTTGGTTTATCTTGCCTACCTGCAGACCTAGTCATATAATAGAATAAAATACAATATCTTTGGTAAATCATTTCTCACCTTTTGTGGTCAGTTTCCCTGGTCCATACCCTCCTTCTGGTAATAGAGAACTTAAGCAAACCATGGCAGCAATGGCAACGAGAATGCCACTAAACAAAAGGTTTAATGAGTAGAATAATAGCTGTGCACATGTGTCATAAATCTTTATTCATTTCTTTGCAGTCCTGTGCACAACAACAACATGAAATGACTATGTTTTGCATATTTTGGAGAATGCAAATGACAGTGGCTAATTTTTCATATTTTCATTTGGAATTGAACACTGGCGTTACATACCAGTATTTGGCTTGAGCAAGATATTGATGATTGCAAAATTTGAGCTCTGAACAGACCTAGACAATTGAAAAATTTCAAGGGAGAATATAAATTCATTTTTTAATTAAGGGTTGTCCTCGGGGTCGCAGTCGTCATTGCTTAATTAAGTTCTCTAGTGATAAAGGAAGGCACCAAAATACTCACTAATCGAATAGATTTGTCGAGTTTGGACCAAATGACAGGGCCTAAATAAGTCAGGCTATGTTTGCCATGAGCAAAAAGACTCGGAACCCTAGGAAACAGAATTTAAGTTTCTATAGTATATCATACCATTCTTGTCCCCAGGGTTGCCTGTCCCTTTAAGCTCAGCCTTGGCAATAGGAAAAGGTGGCCTTAGAGACACATGATTTGATTGGCTAGTATTATGAACTAAAATTTTCACTGATAATTATTCAACATTGGTTTCTCTCTACCTAAAACCTCACTCGATTAGGAGAATTTTCAGTGAAGTCCTCCATAATTAACCATATATGTGCACTTCCAGTCAGAATTTTACTTCTGTTTTAAATTCTGTTTGTCACAAATCTGTTAAGGTTTTTAGTTGTTCTTATCAAACAGTTTTAGTTAAGATATAGACCAGTGGATACTTTTGGAAGGAAGCCAGGACTGAATTAGTGGAAATCTTGGTCCAAATTCTAGCCAATCAAATCAAGTGTCTCCAGAGTCACTTTATTTCTGTGACATGCCTACCAGCTGACAGGGACCAGCAGTTCTGACCAGTTCTGGGGATGAGAATGATATAACTAACACTCAACAGCCATGCACCATTGTGTGCTTTTGTTACCTTTATTCTGTTAAATAAATCAGTAACAGCCACATAAAATTAATTTATTCCTGACCAATAAATAAAGCAAATAAAACTCTACAACAGATGAGTATGAACATACGTCATTGGCATGACTAAACAAACTATAGAATTAATATTCTTTTTGGGAAACAAGTTCATAACAACAAGAAGTGATTGACACTCCTTATTTCATGTATTAAAGGCCGTGAAATTGATGTTGCGGGTTGCTGTGTATGCGTTGCTCTCCAAGAGCTGGTAAATGAGGTTGAATTCCACTTCTTTTCCGTCCATGTACACCACTCAGGTTTGGGAAAGACTGACACAAGGAAAAATATGTTAGTTTATACACAAAATAAGAATCATGCCATGAAATGTAAGGAACCACAGGTGTTTAAAATGGGTTGGATCTGATTATTGACCCCACATACATGTAGAAAGACTGTTATGTGCAACACCGGTAACATTACCCTATAGGTAAGCTGCCTGCGTAAGGTACCGCATACCTTTGAGGTGGATTGCATCCAAGCCATGTGACGTGTCCAGCTTAAACCGTAGATCCCTAGTTACCTCTATATTAAATTAAAGTTTATAGATCTGGCTATCACATAATACCAAGAATTTTGAAACAAAATGAACTGCTGAATTTTTCACAACCTCTCCATGCATCCGAATCACCTTCTGAAAGCTACAAGTCGAAGGGGATTTGCTTGATTGGCCTCAGATTTAGACAGTAGCTAATTCAACAAATTAACTACAAAAAGTGCCTACAAATTTTTTTTTCCCAAATATTTTTTCTCCAAGAGCGATTTTTGTATGATCACTCCTTATGGGTGAGTTGAACATTGACTCCTCAGCCACTTACATTGTCAGGCACCATAGCAGATGAGGACTTCCTGCCTTTTCCTTCAACTATGACAGGGTGGTGATCAGTAAACATTCTATTGAAGTTGGATTCTCTGTTGCTCAACTCCAAGCGATAACGCTGCACTTCTCTTCTGAGACGTTCCAGTTCATCATCTCTCTAAAATGTTTAACATTTATTGGTATTAGACACAGTATATCTCAAAACAGCACACAAAAAAAGCTTTCTTGATACCAAGCTTAGGTTTGGAATATTGACCTTTTAGGCCCCTACAGCTTATTTAGTACAAAATGTAGATGTTCAAAATGTGGCATACATGTTTAGGCCACCTGGACTGGCAAAGCTTGGCCTTGAGATTTTTATCCATTTACATTACTTTTGCCTATGGGAGGCACAGCGACCCAATGTTTAAAGCAATGAAGCCCTATTAAGGGTTTCTGGGATACAGGATATTTAGGAAAAAATTAATGTAATACAGAATACCAGTATTCCCAGGGAAAATTAATGGGATATGGGACATTTAGATCAGATAAGACGGGATATTGTGTAAAGAAATTGTTACTATTGGGGCCTCAGTGCTGGACTTGAGAATAACCAGTCCAGGTTCGAGCCCTGGCTAGGGTCACAGTGTTGAACTCTAGCTCAAAACACCCATACAGTGCATTTCTCTGCCCAAGTGCACACATTAGTACAGCGGAACCCTGATAATCCAGTCACCAACCGGCCTCAGAAATATGGCTGTATTAATGGGGTGGTCATAATAAAGGGGTTCTTTGAATAATAAAATGACTGACTGAGCTTTTGTTTGGGCCAGAATAAAGTGGCCATAACAAAGAGGTAGCCGTATTAATGAGGTGGCCGTAAGGTGGGGTTCCACTGTACCAGCAAAGTAAATACTAGTAGGGAAACACTCACTATGAGTAGTTGGCACTGACCTGAAAAGCTACCGGTATATAGAAATTTGAATTTTCACGTGATTCTTGGCCACATATGAAAAATAATGAGCATCAGTTTCTTCTTAGTGTTTACCTAACTAATGGCGAAGGCTCAACTTACATCAAACGCAGGTGTTGTCCGTGGCACTTCAGGGCTCCCTTTTGTGACTGGCCTGGGAGATCTCTTTGATTCCTTTCTTTTATTCCTCTCATCAATATACTGCTGAATTTTGAGTTCAAGTTGTCGTTTATCTTCTTCTAGCTCCCTGACCAGCTGAGACAGCTGTTTATTTTTCCATTCTAGTTTTTCAGCTCTCATTTGATCTTCTTTTTGTTGTTTTGTGTATTCTTCAATTCTGAGACTGAGCTTATCAATTTCATCCTGCCAGTCTCCTTGTAATCCATTGACGCTATTTTCAAGTCTCTCTTTTTTCTCCAAAATATCATTTAATTCATCTTCCAAAGCTTTAACTTTTGATTGAAGATTCTGTATTTGGTTTTGACACTTTTTCACTTTATCGGTTTTTCCCTTAAATTTTTCTTTTAATTCACTGTTTTCTTTTTTCACATTTTCTAACTCTACTGTCATAAGTGCTACCTGTTCATCACCAGATTTCAACTTGTCCACAAGGCTTTCTTTTAATTCCACAATTTGTTTCTCAGCCACTGTTATGAGCTGATCTTTGTGTTCCAAAAGTGCAGTCAATTCTGCTATTTTATTTTGAAGGTCACTGATCTGCTGTTTGTCTTTCTCACTCTCTGTGTTTTTCAAGTCCAGCAAAACACGGAATTTTTCAAGTTCATCCAACTGCCCTTCCAGCCACGAAATTTTCCCCTTCGCTTCGTCGAGTATAACACTAATCTCATGTTCGTATGCAGTTTTCAAAGCTTCCACTTCGAACTCTCGCTCGTGGTTTCGTGTAAATAACAAATGAATGACCATTGTAAGTTCTGCAATCTTGCGTGAAAGTTTTCCTTTGAGATCGGGTTCCCGATCACGATCACGATGGTGGGCCATGTTAGTTTAATCCTTAAACACTTACACGCAGATTAACGATCAAAATTTCCAGTCGCTATGTAAGCTTAATAACAGTGATAATTCCCAAGAAATGGGATCCAATTATTTCAGTTCCACATTTGCTATGGCTTGCACGTAAGCTTAACCGCACGTTAAATTAATTTGCGTCTTGAAAAGGAATCACGCTTCGTTCCAACAACTGAGGTGAAACAGCAAGTTGCATCGGCACCGCTGAAATTACATTTCCTTGTGATCGTTGTTTATTTATCTGGTCTTTCTTCAGATTTAAGTAGGGCACACATCTTCGTCTGTTTATACCAAGCTACTCTGCTTTACTCTGTCTAGCTCGAATCGATCTGGTGAATCGTAAAACGTGTTGTTTATCATTGACCGCTGATCTCGTCAAAAAAGATCAACCAGTCCTTTAGCAAACTTTCACAGCTTGTGGTCCTCACCAAAAAGACGCCCGCGTTGATCAATAAATTCAAGACAGTGTGTGAAACAGATGTTGCTAAGAGAAGAACATCTCGCGGTATATTTGACAGCTTGTTAAAATGAACTCATTTGCATAAGAATTGCCTTCTGATGGGGCAGTTAGCACGGAACAAAAAAGTGCAGTTATCAGTCGTTGAAATTAATCCGCTTTCTCAGCAACGACACTTAGCTGTCAGTTCTATTTACACAGCAGTTGATGAGTTTTTATTGTAAATCCCTCGTTCACCACCGTTCGCCATATTTCGCCATATTGGACGCTATTATTGACCGCGGAAAAGACTAGATACGAGGGTCTGCATCACGATTGCCTACACAACGTAGTATCCTAAGTTTTGAAAAAATGGCGGATTTTGTGCAATTGTTGTTGGGGACTATATTCGTCTTTTGTCGCCTCCTCTCGACAAGTAAATAGCTTTACCATCAGTCAACGTGTTGCTTATGGGTTTGAGTGACGGAATTTTGGTGGTTGTCTCGGTACTTGAAGGTAAGTTTGACGATAATTACTTTTCATTTTGGTGTCGCGAGAAATACGAGGACGTGCATGCGCGTGTAAATTGTAATCTGCAATACACTTCAGATTCGCCTCGCAGTTTTCCCAAAAGTTTGAATTTGACATCACTTTCCCTCTAACAACGTTGCTTTTATGCCGATACTTTTTTTAAGTACGATTGATACACATTGAAAAATAACTTATGGGCTGCAATATACTTTTATAGGGCGAAGATTCCCTAAACGACCACGGCACAAGATCATTGTTGAAACAAAGTTTGATGGAGAAACACTGACAACTGATCCTATTGATCACGTGGAGACTCCGGAGTTTACAACTGAACTTGCCTGGGAATTAACCAAGAAGTCTTTACACCAGCATCGCTTGCAGAGAACACCAATCAAAATTCAGGTAAAAACACAATAACAAGAGTGACATTGTCAGATGTGTAATAACATGAATAGAATAAAGTTTATTGAGCAGGAGGGGAATGAGCGAAATAAACAACTGAAAGTATATATTAAGTTATTGACCTACATGTAGCATGAGGTCAAGCTAGTTATTGTATGGCAAGGTAGTCCTGGGGCCAATTAGAGCATTCTGATTGTTTCTTTCTTGGTTGAGATTTTACCATATGGTCCATTTCCTTGGAAACAGTCATAAGCTGTCTAATTTTTTGTTTTTGAGTGCCATTTAATAAAGTACTCATTAACCTAGCTTGCTAATGAGCCATACTGGAGAATACTGACCCTTGGTCATTTTTGTATGGACCTCGCTGAATTTGGCCCATACTTCCACTACCTTGGGGCAATATTCCCCAGTACTGCCCTTTTATTGGTTAGTTAGAGGTTAATATAATTTGCTCAACTTTTTCCATTTTTGCGAGTGTTTATGTACTAAGACACAGTCAAGGGCCATAAACACGTAAAAAGAGAACACAGCTACAGTACCTAATATCCAGCCTTCTTGACTGAGCACCTTTTTCTTGCTGGAAACTACAGTTAACGGCAAGTAGGCAAAATTACCCCAACCTGTCTGCTTGGATAGCCAATCACAGTGAAGGATTTGGTTTATCTTGCCTACCTGCAGACCTAGTCATATAATAGAATAAAATACAATATCTTTGGTAAATCATTTCTCACCTTTTGTGGTCAGTTTGCCTGGTCCATACCCTCCTTATGGTAATAGAGAACTTAAGCAAACCATGGCAGCAACGGCAACAAGAATGCCACTAAACAAAAGGTTTAATGAGTAGAATAATAGCTATGCACATGTGTCATAAATCTTTATTCATTTCTTTGCAGTCCTGGGTACAACAGCAACATGAAATGACTATGTTTTGCATATTTTGGAGAATGCAAATGACAGTGGCTAATTTTTCATATTTCCATTTGGAATTGAACACTGACATTACATACCAGTGTTTAGCTTGAGCAAGATATTGATGATTGCAAAATTTGAGCTCTGAACAGACCTAGACAATTGAAAAATTTCAAGAGAGAATATAAATTCATTTTTTAATTAAGGGTTGTCTTCGGGGTCGCAGTCGTCATTGCTTAATTAAGTTCTCTAGTGATAAAGGAAGGCACCAAAATACTCACTAAGGAAACCTAGACAAACTGCATCAAGTCCCATAAACTGAGAGAACCAAGTTGCTCCAGAGATAAGAATACCCAGTTTCTTCTGAAACCTAGGCCGTCAACAGTGACTCCAGCATTGTCTGTTCTGGGTTATTATGTAACAGTCTCTAAAGGTTGCTATCTCCTGCTTATTATTTTTCCCTCCACTATAAAGTATTGTCTTGTAACACAAATTAGTTTGAGATGGAAAGAGACTGTGAACTTTCATCTTCCTGTATAGAGAGAAATGTAACTTGGTTAGAAATAATAATATAATATTATTATGGAATTAAGGGCTGAGATCCATGACAGGCTCACATTGTTATATAAAGCAGCAATTCTAAGTAATAAACACTAAATGGTTATACAGTGGAATACCAAGTTCTTGAATCCTCATTTTTTCAAACCTCCAGATAACTTGAAGCAAAAGTCGTTTCCCTCTCCTTGGTGGAACACTGTAATTTTACCCCTGATTTCTCAAACTATCCAACTTTTCAAACCAATTTTCGTTTCCCTTGGAGGTTCAAAAAATCAAGATTCCACTGTAGTTACATTAATCTGTTGATTTACATGTACATAGTAATATTAGTTTGTAATCAATTTTCTTTTGGCAGTGTTATGCTCTGGACACTCTAACATCCCAGAAAGAACCAGTTGGATATGTGATCTTAGATTTAAGAACAGCACAGCAAAAGCCAGCAGTAAGTAAAGGAATGTTCTGATTTGTCACCATGACTAACTGATATCATAATACATTTACTAGATATTTAGGTTAACTGAATAATTATAATAATTGTGTATTGTTGTCACATAATATATTGGTTGTATGTTGCATTTACTGATGTTTTTCTTATTGTTTGGGACCTGTCTTAAATGAAATATGCTTATATTTTGATGTGAAATAGTGGCAAATAAGAGAGGGTTAAAAATGAAAAAAAACAAATTTGAAAATTTGTAAAATCTTTACTCTTTTACAAACAATAATATTATTGTAGGTGAACTTCGTGATTGATCATTTCACTTATTTTAATTTCTCCTGAAATAAAATATCGTCAAGTACACAGTAATGTTGTATCAGTTGATACACTGTACCTACTAATTTCTCTGAACTAAGATTGAACAAATGTATTACAATAAGTTTGGAGAGTTAGTATTTTGATCTATAGAACTGAAAGTCAGCCTTGTTACAGAGAGCACAATGGCACTCACTTCTGAGCACGAAGTACCAGCGGTTGAAACCAGAGGTGAAGTTGATGCTATCACTAGAGGATGACTCACAATCTAAACCAACTGAAAGTCAAGCTTCTACTGGTAATCAACAGCAGACACAACAAGGAGATGACAGTAAGTTAGTTGAATTACTTAGAATTGATGATAGATAACGTCATTCAAGACTAGAGTTATAACATGGATGGTTGTGTAATTAAAGTGTTTTATTACAGAAATCATAATTGACATTGGAAATAGTCAGCACCTACAATATTATTGTTACTGAATGTGGCGTTCTCACGCCACCAGTTCTTGTTGGTGACAACTTCAAAACTTAAACATTTCTGACCAGCGTTTTCATGACCATAAAGTGCAACAGCTGTTATGGATCTCATTTCTTTTTTAAGCCTGACATAAAAATGATTTGAAGTAAGTTGAGTACTGCATTAAACAGGGATGGCATTATCCTGTGTATTATTTCTTCTCAAGGGAGAGAGTCAAGACCTGCTTTAGAAAGAAAACCAGAATCTGATGCAATACACTTATTCCTGAATGAAGAGCAGGGATATTATGAAATTGGACCACAACTAGAAGACAATAACATCTTTGTTTTGTCTGTCACTATAGGACTAGCCTCCAATTTGGCAAAGGTAAACTTGTTTGGCTTGAATTAATCTTTCATCTTATTCTGAGTCCTGTCTGGAGTCATAATCATTTTGGGATTCATAAAAGATTAATTTCCTGGACAGTATATAGTAGCCTGGTTTGGGAATGTTAGTGAGTGGCGTCTCTGAAGATCTTTCTCAAAGATCTTGCCAAGTTCTTTGAAGATCATTTCTGAGGATCTTTGCAAAGATAAGGAAGATAAGGAAGTTGAAAGATTCTCAATAAGACCGGGCACCCGCCTGTTCTGTTTTGAACCGCTGGCCGTATGTTACACTTTTTTATGATGCTCTTACTGATGGGTGCTGCACCAGGGAAGCCACTTACTTCAAAGCTTATAGAAAGCAAGTCTGTTTATCATGTTTTCAACATACATTTATACCATGTTACAGAAAGTACAGCAAATGAGAATAGGAAGGTTGATGTATATTTGACGATGTTACACCTGACCTTCCCATCATGCACCAGGCATATGACGCTTTGATTTTGTTGGCCATTGTATTTTCTATAGCATGGTATAAAATAGTTATGCAACGCTATCTTGTGGTATACCATGAATTATCTCACTTGTTACTTGTATTTTCTTGGTATACATACAAGTACTTGCCTAAATGCTCGAGCGTGGACCGAGAAAATGTAAGTGACTCGTAGTATATCACTCACAAGCTTTCCATAACTGGTATGTATAATCTAAACGCATAATCCATCATGTTCTTACATTTGATTCACAGTTGATCCCATCTACGTTCACCTTGTCAGACCCAAACCTTGGAGGTGGATTCTACTTTTATTACTCTTTACTCAGCAATGATGTTACAAATGAAGTCTTTCAGGATCTTCTCCAACCTAATTTTCCTGCTGAGCGAGCTTCAGTAAGAATCAGAAGTAACTTGGAGGTTCTGAGAGCATTTTTTGCACAACACCCAGGACTGGAGGTAAAAATAGAGTGATCAACAACTTCAATCTTAAGATCAGCACCCAAATTCTAATTGCTTCTTTATAAATTTTGTATAACTTACCTTATGGAAAGTTGGTTTCAATTATGGCAGTGGAAGGACTTAAGAGTGTTCCTTTGTGTTCCTTTTCTTCTCCCTAAAATCTTTTGGTAATTCCTATGTCTCTGTTTGCCTGTTGTGACTTTGCTTTCAGATCCATTTGTGTAGTGGGGACCAATCATTAGGAAGAGCAGTTGTTTCTTTTCAAGGTCTTCTTGATGAACAGCAAACACCAGCCATACCAGCTGTGATTGAACGGCTGTTTCCTCTGCTGGCACCTGGTCGCAATCGCCAGTCTTCTGGAGCAGTAGATGATTCAGAGCCTGCTGTTGGTGTGTCAGTGTCACTAAGATTTGAACAACAAGACATTGTGGGGATTGTTGCTAGTGCATCATCACCAATTTTAGCTGGGGGAGGGGTGGGTATATTGAGACAAGTAAACTTTGAATACTAGTCATAAATGAAATAGATAAAAAGTTTCGTAGCTTTTTTGCTCAAATTAAAAACTGGTCAATGTAAATTAGGCTGATTAGCAAGAGGTTATTGCAACTTTCCATTTCAGGTTAGTCCCTGAAGGTTTATTGTGTTATGATTTCAATGAGATTTATTGGTAGTATGTTTGGACCCGAAAGTTGTTCCACTGAAGGAAGATTTACAGCAGACATGTTTTGAAGAAATTTCGTGAATTCTGTTTTCAAAGTGCTTATTCAAAATGTCATTTGCAAATCATTGATTATTTATTACAAGACAAAAACTTGACTTTCATCTGGAGTCTGTATGTGGCTATCACTACTGACTTATTGCCTTGTTTTCATGTTATCATGATTTTGTTTTGAATTCATTTATCCTAAGGGGATATCTGAAGCAGACAATATGCCTTATGGAGGCAAGTCAGCTCTAAAGCAGTTCTCAGGCTCCCCTCCTAGAGGAAAACCAAGAGAATCTAGGAAAGGGCCAGAGACAGAGATGGCTGGAGAGCACCCAGATGGAACACCACCCCGACCACGATCCAGCACCCCGAGTGGCCAAGAAAAACCTGGGCCTGGAAGTGGGGTAACTGCTGGGACTCACAAGGTATGTTTTAGTGTGTTAACCTTTTACACTTTTACATTGTGCTACCTGTTTAATGTACATAACACTTCGCAGGATTCTCCTCCCAAGAAGACTAAGATGACAGGCCAGGCTCCTCAGCCTCAAATACCAGCCCCAGGCCCAAGCAGTGTTCCTTCACTTGGAACCAGGCTACCTCTTGATCCATCAGCTCACCATTTCTGTTTTTCCATTGACCTGCGCAGTATTGCAAACCTTGACGTTACGTCTCCTGTTAACTGCTTTCTCAGGTGAGTTTTCAACAAAAAATATTTCCATCCTTTTCTTTCAGAATTATCTTCTGGCAATTCCAGTGACTGAATTTAGTTTCTCTCCTTGACAGGTATACGTACCCATTCTTCGGCAGCTCAGCACCTGTAATGACCAGTCCCCCTGTGCAAGTTCAGCGTAGCATGGAAGTCCTTCTCCCAAAATCGTTCTGTGCTTTTGACTTTGCTGCCTCTCCACGGCTGCTTCAAGAAACTCTCACAAGGTTAGAAAAGAAGGATATGCCTGCATGGTACTCTCTCCTCTGCAGAGGCTCCCTATGGGAACTTGAATATTGGGAGTAGGAAGGCGTGCAGGGGACGATAGGATTAACTTCCGCTTTTCCCTCTCCCCAGCCTCTGAACTACCAACCTATGGTCAAGACAGCACAAAAGAGGCCACTGCGGAGGAGAGAGCAGCATGCTATGTTATTGATTTTGCCAGTTTGTGAAATGACTCTATCATATTCTAAAGTTACAACATGTATTATGCAGCATTTTTGGTTCTGTAATGTTTTTGTGCTTTTACTATAGAGTTCCTCTTGTAATTGAGGTGTGGCATAAAGACAACATGGCTGGAAATGTCCTGATTGGAGTATCAAGTGCATCACTAGCCACTGTGTTAGCTGCAGATAAAGTTCAAGTCTTGTCACTGGTAAGAAAGCTGACATATATGTTCTGAGTACTACCGTGTATCACTTTTATTTCCCAGATTTAATTTTTGTGGATTTTGCAGATGGTACTTGATCCGCAAAAATAAGTTCTAGCAGAAATAAAACACCAGCAAAATTAAAAGCTGCAAAAATTTACTCCCGTTAATATCCCGTTAATCAAAAATGGCTTTCAATCCACTTGTGTTACTATGTATTTGTTTCCGCAAACCTCAAAAAATCGCCAATCTGCAAAACAGTGTGTCGCTTAGTGAAAAATTATCCTCTCTTACCAAAATCCTGACTTTCTGATTTCTGAAAATCTCTCTTACCTAATTATTTAATGTACCCTCTCCCTCTATGGTCTTATGGTATCTTCTCCCAGCTGTCTAGAGTTTCCTCCCGTTGCTGACTAGTGAAATTCTTAATGCTGAGCTCGTCCAGAAATGAGTCAGTGCAAACTTTGTTTTGACACACAATTTTAGTCATTCTAAATGACTCTATGTAATCTTTGTGTCCATATTTTAGGCTAAAGAAGTGACTGGATATAGGCAGATTTACAGTGAGAGGGTATTAATCTTTACCACAGAAAAGTATGTGAAACTTAATTGTAGGACACCTCAACTTAGTTATTTTATACAAGTTTTTGAGTTGTCTTTTATCCTATCTCGAGTTTTTGGCGAGAATAATCTGGAAGCTCCGACGAACGCGGCACATTATGGCGGGAAACATATGGAAGACGTAACAGACGTGACACATGCATGGCTGGAAAACGTTTCTACACACAAATCTCGAGATGTCACCGAATATAGAACAGCTTTGTTGTTTACTTATCCCTCAAGAAAATAACGTTTGGCCTGCATCCTAGCTTAACAGATCTCATCGTTAGTTGCCATGCAATTATACATGTAATTCAACTTCATTTCGCCTTTTTTAGACCCGCCCGGAAAATTGGTGAGCTTCACGTGGTTCTTGGACTAGAGGACCTGGGCCCAGTAAACTTGCAGCGACTGATGGGAGCAAATGAAGTAAGTTGGAGGGACGGGAGTGATAATCAATCAGTGCTAAACCTTGAATTTGAGCAAACGTGCTATCGGGGAAACCTTGCCTCTCATTTACTGAATATAGTCAACTCTTGTTATAGCGGACACCTTCGGGATTGTCATTTGGTGTCCTTAATAGCAAGAGTCCGGAATAGCGGGGTGTGATGAAAAAGGCTCATTTGTGGTCGCAAAGTATCACAAATAACGTACACTGCTATACTTGTAGTTAACTGACATTTACTGTGATACATAATTTTACAATAAAGGTCAAAATGCTGTAAAACTAGTGAACATTCCAAGAGTGTAGAGTAACTAAGTCTTTTAATACGTCCAAGTTGTCTGTTGTATCGAGACTAGAACAATAAGAACATTAGTTTGGGAGCACATGAAGTGCCCGTAATTCTGTAATAGCGGGAGTAGTGTCCATACATTTCTTTGTAGATTGGGCTGAGCATGTAGCGGGGTGTTCGAAATAGCTGGAGGTCCGCCAGACAAGACTTGACTGTACCTACTTTCTTGTGTATTACTTCAGTACAGTTTGTCCTCTTCACTTGAGAGCAGCCAGACCTCTAGTGCCATTCCTTTAGCCGAACCGCAGCGAGTTCCTCCTGCTCAACCCAGTCCTCCTCCTGTCACTGACCCACGTGACACCGAAGCGTACAAGGCTGCGTTAGAGCTGGAACTGTGGAAAGAACAACAGGAAGAATTGTTTCAAGCACAGGTGAAACAAAATTTTGTCCAATTATTGACACAGTGGGGGTGTCTTTAGTGGTGATCAGGTTAGCCTAAGAAAGGGCGAAGAGACACTTTGGCTAATATTTTCGATGAATAAGCTGCCCTCGTGAAGTTTTGACCATTATCCCTTTGTCTGTGCAAAAATGCTCCCACTTAGCAAAGGCTAACGCTCAAAACATCACTTTTCCAAATTTACTGTGACGATCAACTTGATGTTGGTAATGGGCCATTGTTTCAATTGCTCGCTGACGCAGTACACCAGTTTTATTTTTTGTTATTCCTTACACATAGGACTGTTAAACAAGCTTCTTTGCCCCAAGGAGCTTGGGCGAAAGCGGCGTGTGGCCTTCAGGCTGTTATATATAAAATCTGCGTCCGCTGCTCTACGACTTAGGGGAAAGTTAAAGGGCCATTCTGTAGTTTGTTGTCTTGAACGTTTTAATCTAAGAATGATCACATCGGTTTCCCAATGCCAATCCAAAAAGATGTTGATCGTCTTCGACTTGCTTGTTAAACGATCATACCTGTTATTTTAACTTGGTAAAGACCACTTACTAACACTATGTTGTTTTCACGGCAGCTGCAACAGCGAGAAACCTCACACATGAAAACTCTCGCCGAGGAATGGAAACGACGTGACAAAGAACGAGAACTAATGGTTAAGAAAAAGGTAAAAGAAAAGAAACTGCACTCATTCTTGTAGATGTGCTTTTAAATATACAGACAGAATGGAATGAATTAGGTTATAATTTATTTTTTTCTTACCTTAGCTTGAGGAATATTCTCGATTAGAAGAAAAGCTCAAACAATCTATTGCTGATCTGGAAAGGAGAGAAAAGCAGTTGTCAGCAAGTGAGACTCAGGTGTGTTTTGTTTTCCAATTTATTCTTGAATTGTCAGAGCGTACTCTCAGCTTTTTGTATCTAGATTACTATCCGGCCAGCATTTTATATATATTTTTTTAGCACTTTCTTGAGCCAGGATCAATTTTACACTTTTTAAACCTCAACATCTTAAAAAAAATTCTGTTTCTCGAGGCTCAACACCGCTTGGAGCCGATTAACCTGGTGGGTTTCTGTAGCAGGGGGCGACTTGGGGTATTGTTACGCCCCTGGATGGGATGTTAGATCAACGTACGTTACCCCCCCCCCCCCTTTCTCCAGCCATATTACTTTTCCGGGTCAACTCAATAGTTTGTTAGTTCCCTGCTCTTTATGCTCTTTAGTGAAAAGGTAAATGGCAAGCCCGATAACACCATATTGTAGCTTGTAAGAAGAATCTCTAATGGTGACAAGAACTGTTTGATAACGATTAACGAACCCAGCATCAATAACTGGCGGTTCTTTTGGCCTGTCCACTGGTGAACCACAAGGCCACCCCGCTTCAGTCCCACCTGCGTTAAAAATCATCGTAGTCAAATATCCGAATCAAAATTCACCGCGATCTTAGGATTGTTTAGCTTACGAAAGAGAGTTAAAGATACGAGAGAGCATCGCCGAGTTATGTACTCAACTTGCGAAAACAAAGCCTGAAAAAGAAATTAGTGCGAAAAAATTCAGCCTGAATGTTTTTCACGCATATTTTTCGCAACTGCCTAAGTTACATACATAACTGCGATGAATTCTCTTTTCCGTTGCTCTGAAAAGCAGCTTGATCCGCCAACAAATGGTCTTTATTATCAAAAGTCTCTTCATTTTTATTGCCTCTCAGGTGATGCACATGAAAGACGAACTTGAACGAGAACACGAAAGAAAGATGACAGAGATGAGAGAGGCAGCTCGGAGGATGAAAGATGACTGTTCACACCAAGTGGAAATGGAGAGGTTCATATATATTACACAGCTCTCCTACTATGTATGGATTAATAAATGCATACAGTTGGAATGTCATCCTTAACTTGTATTGCCCTAGTTGCAATACTGGATTACTGGTGTTTCTTGGCAAGCGGCCGGTCGCTGACCAAGAAAACACCTGCGCCTTTACCTTCCGAAAAACAAGTCTGTTTGATATATAATAGTCTACTTTTCTTTTTCAAGACGAATTTCAGAATATATACCAGTATACGAATACGCATGAGAATGGGTAAAGCCTTCATCTCTTATGGTTGACACCTTGACGACGTCACTACTATAAATACCATGGTAATACTGAAATTTGGTGAACATAAAAGTAAGTTACATCTCGGGAAGAAACTTCCAGTTTCGTGGTTAGACTCGAAAATTGACGACACATTTGTGCACATATGTAGCTGTATCTGTTGTAGAGGATGATGTTTTCCCTCTAGGTGAAGAATGGTGTTTGTGTTGTCTAGAAGTTATTTAACTAAATTCGATCGGCTGCGTTCGTGCGCTAGCTTCGGCGTCGTCCATTAGCCAAACGACAGAAAATTGACAGATTATGATAGATACGAACTGAATTTCACTATCACTAATGACCGTCATAGCTCTGGAATTTAGAGCGAATATCAGTCGTATTACTGCACAGAAGGGAAGCACCGAAGATTTTAAACTTAGCTGTGAATAATTTTGTTTCAAGGATGAAAGTGAAAGACCTGGAACAACAGAAACAGAGACTAGTGGAACAAGTAAGTAACAAGACTCCTTTCTCTATACTGATCTTAACCTAAAACAAAGAACAAAACAGTTTGGCGCTGGGTGCGTGGTTTCCCGCGCTTAGCGACAGTTACACCTTTTCCCGCGCTTGGAACTTGGCACTGGTTGCATGTTTTCCCACGCTTGGCGCTTGGCACCGGTTACATGTTTTCCCGCGCTTGGCGGTAGTCAGAGTTGCGCGTTTTCCCGCTCTTGACACTTGGCACTGGTGACATGTTTTCCCGCGCAGCGTGCAATGATGTCATTGGTTCATTGGGCTTTTTGAACGGTTCACGTTTTTATTGGCTTCATGTTACCAATCTCGTTTTGTTTTCATTACATTTTATCAAAAGCCATGTCATTTTGTACAAATTTTTCCATTTTGTATACTTACCGTCTTTTTTTGATTAGGTGTACGAAGCGGAAAAGCGATTTCAAACAAAGGAAAACGAGTTCATGGCTTACAAGGAACAACAACTGACAAAACCTGAAGTGAAACTAGAGTCCGAAATCAACCTTTTGAAAATGGAAAAGGTATTAACTACATAACTGCCACAAAAGTGATTAACAAGATAAGATCTCAGCGCAGACATTAAAAGGAGTGTATATAGATTATTAAACTATTTCAAACTAGAACGATAAGTTTCTTGTCTCTTCTCCCCGCAGGCAGAACTTGAACGTAAGCTAGAAACAGCAAACAAATCAAAGATTCATTATAAACAGCAATGGGGCCGAGCGCTGAGGGAACTGGCGCGACTTAAACAACAAGAACAGACTGCGGCCAGAGCGCGGCTCAAAAAGCAAGAGCAGGAACTGGAACACATGCGGCTGCGCTATCTCGCCGCTGAAGAAAAAGAGGTACTGACGAAGTTACGTCTGCGACATCCTGTGACAGGTTGCATATTATTATACTCGAAAGGATAAGAGCACAGTGTGATTTTTTCCCCTCTTTTAGGTCGTAAAATCGGAAAAGGATGCACTAGAGGAAATTAAACTTGAGTTGTCAAGGTAAGTAGTCAGGTTCTTGTTTTGTAATTTTACACCAAATTGGAAAAAAATATATCTTTAGATCTTTCAGCTTTGAGTTGCCATAAGCGGTTTTGGAAGCACAACATTACTAGATCAGTTTAAAAAAATCCAACAAAAATCTGTTTTAGATTCCGGTAAAATCTGATTTTACAAGAGCGTTGTTACAACTTGGTCACCTTCCACTGAAAAAACTTGCTTTCTATAGTTAATCAGTGATAGAGTTTATCCAAAAGAGTCTTAACATACACGATATAACTTCGCAGAGCAGTACCATAATTTGTCACCTTGCAGTGTTTTCGTGGTTTTAATCTCCTCCTACTCCACAGACTAAAACAACAAGAGGAAGCGAAAGCTCGTCTAAACCCAGAATCAACTGAAAGCCACGAAAAAACGTCTAATTCTTCGCAGAGAAGGAACGTGAAATATCCAGCTGGACTTTCATCTGTTCATGAAGATGACGAAGAAGACGTAGATAGCAGGATTGCTAAACTAATTGAAGAACGAGACACTTTACTACACACAGGAGTTTATACCACGGACGATCGGATCATAGTTGAACTGGATAGACAAATCCGCGACGCTATAGCTAGCAAAGGTTCATGACTGAAGGCTTAGAGTAATGGGGGATTCATGTCCTAAGGGGGACACACTGGGAGGGGAGGGGATACATTGGGGACTGGAATCCCCGGGAGAAATTAAGTGGCGGCTTGGAGCTTATTGTTCCGTTCATATGTATGGGTAAGTTATTGAGATATCCTGGGCTAGGTGGGAAGACGTCATCCCATACAAGTGGACATTCAAACCCTTTGGGATGCAAACGTGATCAGCAGCTTTTTTCTCCATACATTGTCTCTGTATTTTTAACCAGTCAGGCGGTGAGAGTAACGCAATTCGTCACTTTTAGCCGCGCTCTATTCTCGGCAAAGCTAACAAACAAACAAATCAACAAATCTTGCAATTCGAGTTTGGAACGGAAAGGAAATACCTGAGTAGAACTATACACCAAATGGTATTATTTAGACTGCCGTGGATTTATTATGATTTGTCCATTGTTGTGTGTTTCTGTGAGATGTGTTTGAGGCCGTGTCTTAGTCAAGTTAGATACATGAAGTCGGGAAAGAATATTATTTGTGTTCTAAACTTCTAATCAACTTGAGCAAGATCACTAAGTTAGGACCTAATATGGCTTCTATTTATCAAAATTAAAGTTCAGTTGTTAGAATAAGTGACGCTATGCTGACGAACCATTGACAAGATAATAACAATACCTTCTTGATTCACACAACAACATCTTTTATTTACAGAAAATACCACTTACATGTTTTGTTTAATTTCAAAGAATTCCTTGCTCAATTTTCTGCCATCGCTTGGCTTCATCACTGGAAATTTGCATTTTTCAAAGAAAGAATAGACTTGAATTAGGTTATATTTTTTGCGTGGAGGTTGCCAAGTTTCATTATCGAAATCGTATGAATTTTAGCAGATTTTATGCTGACTGGGGTAAGTTACACTTATTTGTCAGGACAGTTCAGATACACCGCGCGCTTGCATTGCATATAATGGGCGTAAACCATAAAGATATCAGCATAAAGACAGTTAAAGCTTTCTTCAATCTATTAAAGTTGCTTCAACTGACACACCCCACCCAAAAAACCATAAACACATTGAGATCGGTAAACACTGTTAACGAAAATGAGCTTGTGGATTAATGGGAAATAATATAATATTACTTTTTGGTATTTGATACGTGTGATTTGACTAACCGGATAACTATGTAGAACACGGCCATATTTGACATACTTTTTTTTCAAGTCAAAAACACTGTTATATAATGTAAATACCGTGCTTTTAAAAAAGTAAATTTTGTAAAAAGTAGCAATCACAATAAAACAAATTTTACATTGGAAAATCATTGGCATTTGTATGTATGTATATATTCCGTAACGAAGGGAGAAAATTTGATACAGGGTTTAATTATGCATTGCAGCCCCGATAAAAGTCTGTTCGTATGGAACCGACAATTCCTCGGGACATTGTCTATTTAACTTCCTCACAAAAACGAGCTCATTGACAATCCTTGCAAAAATTTCGCTCGGAGCTGAATGCTTTGTTCCCTCTTGGGCATAACTACCTAGTTTCTTTGATTACAGAGAGCTAGTTAGAGAAAGATTAGTTTAATAAAGGACAAACAAAGATCAGGTTTTAATTGCTGTGGACGTTGGCAAATTTCAGTCTTCGCGCAGTGGTGAATATTTCAGTAATGGGTGAACGCTCCTAGAATTTATTTAGTTTTCTTTTTCCATGTGATGGATTATGTTTATTTCCCGTGCTAAGCTTTGGTCAAAAACATTAAAAATTAAAGTTATCGTGGAAAAACTGTTTCTATGGAGTTTGAAGAGACGGCCATGACTATGCTAAAAGATAAACTTACACGCGATTTATTCCACATAAGTAGTTTAATTACTATTCTCTTGTGTTATATAAAGCAAGTACTGGAATAATAGAAATCAACAAGCAGAAAGACAATTATCCAATCAGGCTCTTGCAGCAAACAAGACCTCAATCCCTGTGCGATGAATGATTCTAGAATTTACTACCAAGCTCCGTCGTGTTGCTATCCAGACGTTCACTACAAATATTCTTCCTGGTAAAAAAAAAAAAAACCACAGTAACCAGCCAACTACGGAGGACAATGTCGATATTCGTGAACAGTGAAGAGCTGAAGACAAAAATACAAAACGATTTGGTAAGTAAATGAGTGTAAATGAAAAATCATTATTTAGATTGGAAAGTTGTGTACAGTTTACGATATAGTGGACAAAGTTCCTAAATGAATGATTGAAAAACCAACAAAATGTGCTAAGCACAGAGAGATAGTCTTGAAAAACTGTTTGTTTGCTGGGAAAAAATGATTTTACACGAAATGTTTCGTTTGTATTAATGAATTTAACAAAATTAAATGCAACAAGCCGATCTAACAGTCGTGTAAATGAAACACAAATGTTAATGCGATGTTTGCCTGTTTTACTGATTTAATCCCTTCTCAACGATAAAACTAAATTTGCAAATATCTGTTGTAAAAGAGTTTTGTCGAGTTGTAATTTTGCTTTGAAGCTAAATAGATTGTTAGATCAAGAATAGGTGGTAAAGAAACTTATGCCTCAATGCACTTGTATTTCACGCCCGAGAAGCTCAGAATTGAATTTAACTGCTCAGTTCCATTCGTACTTTTACTTCCTACCCTAGTCAGAAGCTACTGCCAAAAAACCGCTTGTATTTGTCCGACGGAGCATATTTTTGTCAATGAATGAAACTTTGACGGTCATGTAATCATGATAACGATCAAGAAGGTCAGTTTATTTTTAAACACTGCATTTTAATAAATTGATCTAATTTACAATTCAATTCTTTCAGATTTCAAGCCACTCGAAGAAATTTTTCAACGTCAAAGTTCCACCTCGAGAAAAACAGCCATTCATTCCTACAGCTGCTGTTGTTAGCTGCTTGTTTGAAAGAAAACAACCTGTCTTCATCGACGCCGATACACTGGAAAAAAGTGGAGTGAATTTTGGAGGTTTTAACTCGCAAATGTGTAAGTTCAGTGACCCGAAATTCCGTAGCCTGCTTGATAAGGAGGCGGATTCACGTAACCGGAAATTTAGCGTAGGTGCGTAAGTAAAAATTGCACGTGAAGTCAAATTACTTCCCTCGGCCCACGAAAACTCCTCTCAAACAACGTCACGTGTTTTCAGACGTTTCTCGAATTATCAGACAAAGTTAATTATGATTTTAAATTCAAGCGGGCAAGAAAAGTTATCGTACCCACTATCATTTCGCGGTTTTGAAACATTTCCGCTTTCGTACACTGGTTGTAAACTGGTTAACAAGTTTTCAAAGAAAAATAATTTTGAAAAACTGCAGCTTAAGCTTCATGGACTTGAATGAATGAAAAAAATATAATATAGTCGTTTTCGTTGTTTTCAAAAAATGTCGCTTTCATTTAACTCGTGACTTCTGCCTTTTGTTTATTCACTTGCTTAAAATTTCGCACGCCATTTTTGAAAAGTTTTTCATTGAGACCGCATGCCGCCTCAAATGAAGGCTATTGTTAAATCTCTCTTGAGATTACTACTGGCTGTCTGGTGTAGAGGTTATTTGAAATACAACTTGATAACGTTTTGAAATTCAAAACAATGCTTCTTTTCTTAGTTCGTTGCAGTGAAGCGTGATTGAAGCCTTCATGCTTCAACTTCAGTTGACGGAACGCTCTCTCAAGGTCGCGACCACTTTCTGCTCTTGAAACGTGCATAAACGCTTGAAAAATTCTAAATATTTCAGTTGTCGAATCCTTTATCTTGTCTCTGAGTTAATCATTTTGTTTGGCGCGGACTTTTTCTCTGAATTCTCACGTCAAACAGAGATTTTTTTACGATGGCTGGCTTTTCTTGCCGTCAAGAGATATGATAGACTCGAAGTTTAACGACGCAATTATTCCTTTTAAAATTTATCTGGCTATTCTGTTTGAGGCATGTCGTTTATTTATTCTATACACGTGCTTTTGAATGTTCTCGCAGACACTCCCTTAAAATAAACTACTTTCTCTCGTAAAATGTATCGTGTTAAGGACGGCTGTTTCTGCAGTTCGTGGTATAGAGTAAAAATTCCTTTTACTGAAAAGTTCTACAGTCGGTTCTGACCATTTTTAGCTGAACCTCCCTTTTGAAAAGTAGATTGTTTTTCAGAGTGAATTTAAAAACCTCCACGTACAAATTCTCCTGGGATTCAAGCTTCTAAATATAATCAACACTTTTTACTCTTCTGGCATTGTTTCGATGACATCACAGATAGTAAGAAGTAGACAGTGGTTTGTTAAAATTCACGCTCGATTCTCTGAAGGCAGCCGCGGTTTTTTTGTCACATAACTTGTTGTTTAGGAACAAACAATGTGAAAGTTGTTGGCGCTAGAGTCTGAAAAGAAAATACTTGATTATTTTAAATTGATGTTGCTGTTAACAAATGTTCGATTAATACCAGGCTTAAAACCACATAGGTCTGCAAGGGCGTGCGTATTAATTGCTCCTCTTGCGGGCGCGATATTTCACAGTCTCCCACTGATTTTTTGTTTCCGGCGAAATGTGCAAATCTTGTATGAATGAAAATGTTTTCAACCTGTCATTTCCTTCTTTCGTTTTAGGGTGTCTTCGTTGTAAGAAGCAATATGCCGAACCTTGCCCTTTACATGGTTTGAGTTATGCGTCAAGACAGGACAGCGGTTTTCATACGTGCAAAGCTATGAGGTCACTTCCGCAGGAAGTGTGTTTGTGTAGGTCGAGTGTCCCTGGTGCTGAGTTCGGAGTTTGTACCAGAAGGCACATTCCTGCAGGGACGTGGATTGGTCCATTTGAAGGAAAACGAGTTTATCCTGGTGACGTGACAGCAGGCATGGATACGTCTTTCATGTGGGAGGTAAGCGGCCATCATTGAGAAATTAAAATTTCAGGGGCGTACGATGTCTAACAACAGTTAGCAGCTATTTCGGTGTTTGATGAAACGCCAGATTCTCAGATCAAACATTAAGAAATGTTGTAACATGAGTTGAGAGAGTTGCTATTTCGAGCTTAACTGGATTAGTGGAAACAGCCTAGGCATGGCCTAGTTAGTGCAAGTGCTGGAAGGAGTTTCCAAGAAAACTTAGGCGTTGTTGTGGTTTCTTGTGAAACACGGAAGTGTATTAAGGAAGTAGAATTTGAACAGTCTAAAGCACTTGACTGATTGACGCTTGTACGAGGAAATTCAAGCGGACTAGAAACCAAATAAAGACAAGAAAAAAAAGTTTTGTGTTGGCTTGGTTGACTAGTAATAATAATAATAATAATAATAATAATAATAATAATAATAATAATAATAATAATAATGACTTTATTAACGTGTCAATAATAAGACTAAGCTTTTAATGTTTGTTCTTTACAGATTTTCGAAGGCAATAAGTTGATGTATTTTATCGATGGTAGTGACTTGGAGTCTTCAAGCTGGATGCGTTTTATTCAGTGCGCACGCTCCAAACATGAACAGAATCTTTTCGCCTTTCAATACCGAGGCAACGTTTATTATCGTTCATTCAAGGACATAGTTGTTGGAGAAGAACTTCTTGTTTGGTATGATGATAAATATCTTCAGCATTTTGGAATACCGACAGGACTGCAGGAAATTTGCTTTGTTATAGATCACGGAGGTACGTTTATAAAGAGACTTTTCAGTATAGAATACATTAGACTGACTCAGATCTCGAGACGAATGGTTTTGGCAAAGTCAAAAGTTTTGTCAGTACAATAATACCGTTTTATCGTGTGTTTCACAGATTAAACAAGCATGATTAAATTATTTTGTTGGTAAAGCACAATTACAATGGCCAGACAGATAACCGTAAAGCCAGTCAAACAGACAGACAGATAGTAAGACAGACTGCCTGCCTGTGTGTCTGGCTGGCTGGCTGACTGACTGGCTGACTGACTGACTGGCTGACTGGCTGACTGGCTGACTGACTGACTGACCGGCTGGCTGACTGACTGGCTGACTGACTGGCTGACTGACTGGCTGACTGACTGGCTGGTTGACTGACCAACTGACTGACTGAAAGACTGAGATAGACCAAACAAAACGACGGACATAAGATGACAGACACTTGCAACGATCACAGGTAAGAAAGACAGAGGAAAAGACTGATCTACTTTTTCAATTTTATAATGCATCATTTACTCAATATATAGATGAATTCATCACATATCTGTAGAGGTGCATGCTAGAGTAGCTTTTAGAAGCTACGATTAATAAACTATATCTCTTTCAGGAGTGTTTGAAACATGCGAGAAGGACTTATCACATCACAAAGCTCAAACAGAGCAGACACCTTCAGGTACTCGTATAATCTTTGCTCTTTAGTCCGAGAGATAAAAATTAAAAAAAAAACAGCTTCAGCTCCAAGTTCAAGATGCTAATTCTCCTTACTGATTGACACATTTCTTTTAATGTTAGGTCTGGAAGTTTGGTTGTACATCAAGAAAATATTTCTTACCTGATTGCTTTCTGTATTCTCATTATCTGTCTGGTTGACAATGTGTTGACAATGTTAAGAGAAATTAGATGTTGAGATGGGAGAAAACATGCTAGTTATCTTACAATATTTTAAACAAGTTTTCTAATAATCTCTTGGTCTCTTATCTTTTGTTAGATGTTTGGTTTACCGGAATGCTACAGCCAGTGGAACAGAAATCCCAACCGCGTTTGCGTGAAGCAGGTATTCCATTAACAAGAAGTTCATCTACCGACAGCAAGCTCTCTGACCAGCGATCCTCTCCTGTCAGTGACGTAGAAAGTGACGTCAGTGATCCTGGAAATAATCTAGTTCCAGTTGCTAAGAGTCCTCCTTTGGGGGAAATGACGTCATGGCGCTGTCAGCAGTGCCACAAGACCTTTTCCCAGCGGGTGGCTCTACAGCTACACGTGTGTCCGTGCCAGCCGGCTAAACCATATCAGTGTGGACAGTGCAGCTTGTCCTTTTCCAATCCTTCGCATCTCCGTGCGCATGTCATCTCGCATTCTAGCGAGAAGCCGTTTAAATGCGGCTTTTGTTCGCGCGCTTTTGTTGGCGCAACAACACTGACTAATCACATAAGATCTCATATGGGACAAAAACCTTTTGGTTGCGAAAAATGTGGTAAAACATTCTCACAACCTGGACTGTTGGCAAGACACGCCAGAAACCCGCGTGAATGTAAGGGTAGTGTTTCACCTTCATCTATGATCGCTTGATTCAAAACTTCTTTTTATCCGGAAAATTACTACAAGCCCGCTTCTAAAACGGTTTTTTTTAGAAACACCATTAGCAATGTAGTAGGTAAATATTTGAATTCTCAAGTAATTTAGAGGTTAAATTGCTAATTTTTTATTTTAATAGAAACCAACAGGAAATAGCTGCTTGCTAAAATAAATAAATTTAACAATGAGTTGTTGTGTAATTGTGTTTTTGTGTTTTTGTGACGATATCAGTCTGACTGTTAAGTTTACTACACTTTGCAGTAACTTTTGACAGAAAAGTCAATTAGTAAATGATAACAGTGAACAATGCACAAGAATGAAACTGTGACTTTGTCATGTTATCAGGTTTTTAGAACGGGGTATGGGTCTGGGTACAACTGTGTGACTGATCATGCGTGACCATCCCTGAAAAGGATTCTGGACATGGAGATGGTAATCGTAGCTAACTGTTGAGGTTTTATTATGTCCTCGCATTGGATAAATTTTAGTTCTTTGGAGAACTTTAATTGTTTTCGCTCGGACATTCGTTTTGTGCATGCAAGCCTTGCGAAGTTGTTTTCAAAGAGTTTTACGGCCTCTAGTTCTCTGTCGGTATCCAGTAGGCAATAAAAAGAAAAACCACTCCCTTTTGTGTTTTTTCTTTTTCATCTTCCACTGTACGGTTCATTTATCTTCATTTTTTTGTGTGGCTCATTAAGGTCAGTTTGAATTTTTCATTGACAGTCAAAAGAAATCAACTTTATCACTTTAAACCTCGTAGGTAAGCAAAAAATAGAGCATTTGTTTGACCTTCATGCTTTGCTGAAACGATTGGTGCACTAGCCATCGAGTAACTCCACAAAAACGGAACATGTTTTGCCACGAAATTCTTTATTGATAAAGTACGTGATGAGGACAAGCTTATTATTTCTCCAGCGTTACGCTACACTTTTGTCATTTATTTTTCGCATTCCCCAGTGAGCACAGAAGACTATAATTAGAAGTGAATAACTAATCAACGCGAAAACTAAGGGATAAATCTTAAAAAAAACAATTTCGACTTCCGCTTTTCCATTTTGCGCGGGGAAATTCGACAAATCAAAATCTACGCAAAATATTTCTGCAAATGAAATTAGAAGTTCGTTGATTAGGCTATCATCTATGAACGGGCGTCTTTTGTACGCATGAGCAGTTATATCGATCAAGGTCTTTTGTGTTTCTTGGAGAGAAAAACATAACGTCGCCATCACAGATAATTAACCAATCTTATCTTTTTCATCAATTTCGAGAGTTCTTAGTCGACATGCAAAAGTCCTAGCTCCACATTACTTACTGAAACTTTCTTCAGACAGTCCTCGAGCTAAGCGTCGATTTATTGTTTTGTAAACATTTTTTTCGAAAAGCGGCCAAGCACAAACGAAGAGAAATAAAAGACAAAAGTGCTTGAGATTCCTTTGTACTCCATCTTATTATTGGTGGTAATTCTCCGTGAAAATAATGCACTTTTGTCTTCAAAGGCTGTGAATATTGCATAAAAGGCGTAAGCTTTAACATCGCCCGCCTTTTGGTAAATAAGACCTTTAAACTAATCAGCTATTCGGTGCTCGAGGTGGAACGCAAGCAAGCAGTTAGACAAATCTCAACTCCCAAAAGTTGTAAGATATCACCTTCTGGACCGCAAAGTATATACCATTACCACATCGTCGACAGTTTGAGAACACTGGAAATGGAAGTCGAAAACAAGGTAAGGATAAATTTTGTTTCAGACAGCGTAGTTTGGGTGAGCGCTTGTAAGTTAAGTGGTGAATCGCATTGTTGCACAGAAATTCCACTCCTTGACAGTAGACGAAGTAACAACCAGCTGTCAGCAGGCATTTTCGCGCGGTTTTTGACACTTTCGACTGTTTGGCCAATTTGCTGGTTGTGAAAAGCGCGAAACTTTTGCTTGCTTTTTCTTGGTTTCTTCACCCACTTGCAATTGAGCTAGTTACGCCTCACCGAGTTGAGTTTCCTGCAAACTCACCGCAATCCACGATTTTCCTTCAATTTGCAACGAAATTTCGATATCAATCGATTGTAAGCAAGGGTATAAATTTAAAACTCGCTTTCGTCAATTTTTTTGCGGTGGGTCTGTTCTAGAAGTTTGGGAAACTTCGGTTTACGTAGGTAATTATGCAAACATCCAAAACTTTTATGAAGGGGAAAAACAAAAGGAAAATACTACCGTGATTTGCATGAAGTTTTTCATACTTTTTTCACCCAACAGGGTAATTTTCAATCTTTTCATGCAATCTCGAGATGTTTTTTGGTTGTAAGGGTGTGAGTGGATAGCAAGCAAACGGAATTTCTGAAAAAACTTGTTAACAGTTTTAAACAATGCCTCTTGCCTTCCATTGTGCCGAAAAACGATTTGCTTCGCTGCATTCGGTAATTTAAAAGCAAATTAGACAATTGTGAATATTTTATGTATGATTGAATGAACCACGGACAAGTCTGATATTGCTTACTAATCACCGGGGGCTGAGAAGAAATAAAAATCGACAAATTTCCGATCCTTGTTAAAAACCTTTTAAACTTACAAGCGCGCATACGCTGTCGCGTTTTGAAGCCGTTTTTACGAACAATTTCAATTGGGACGAAAAATGCTCCACCAGCGGAAAAGCTATACCGAGAAACAGGTTTTTAAATCAATCTTTTACACTGCTGAAACTAAATACTTCTCTCGATTCTTACAAATGTAAAATGTGTACCTTTTGACAGGCGCGAAAAATGATCAACCCTTTCGTGGATAGCGTGAGTTTGAATCGGGACGGGATGTTTCAGCCCGTAGCCAAGAAAGCCCGTATGGTTTCATCGCCCAAAGTGATCTCCACAAAGCCTTCACCGTACTCCTTCACTGTGACTGACTTACAGAAATGTCTTTTCAACGCATCGGCCGTTCATCCAGTTAGCACACAGGACGTATTGGTGAAGAAAAAGGGATCGACTTGTTTCTGTAAGTAATCCAGGATGTGATGATAAAGTTACTCGAAATGCATCATAGGATATATTTTTTTAATGCTCATTTCGTGCGTGCAGCTTGATTGCACCTTGTTTTGATGGACTGAGAAAAACCACGCAACCAACTGTTCCGTTTTCTGGGAAAAATGAAAGCACTAAACTGTAATAGCATTTATTTGTCAAATCGTCTGTTCTGATATTTTGTCTAAAAACTTTCAAGAGTTATTGCGAAATAGAGTTACCAATGCAAGAAGTCACTTGCCCACTTTGCGTGTTTGTTTGAATTAGCTTGGCTTACAAACTAATCCAGTCTCAAGTCTTTATAATTTGTTGTCCAAAGGGTATTTTTGGAGTCGTTTTGATGATAATTTTTGTGTTCAGGGTGCGACGCTAGCTCAACAGATCCGAGTTTCCAGTGTCCGTGTCATCAACACGAAACTTCTGCCTCTCCACGAGCAACAAACCTGCCACTTGCTCTGAAATCCCTTCCGCCGGAAGTGGACTTGTGTGCATCAAGCGTTCCAGGAACGGGATACGGTATTTGCGCCAAGCGAGCGATTCCTGTCGGCGCGTGGATTGGGCCTTATGAAGGAACATTTATGAAGCCTGAGGAGCTGTCTTCTGTTACAGATACTTCGTACATGTGGGAGGTATGTTGAGAATGTTAGAGATAAAAGCTCTGGGCGTTGTTACAATGCTCATTTTTGGGGGCGATAATTTCATTGATAATTTCCTTGCTTGGCATCCCTTAGATCTTTGAAGACGGCAAACTGGCGGGATTTGTTGACGGCAGTGACGAAAAAGTTTCAAGCTGGATGCGTTTCATCCGCTGTGCTCGCCACAAAGGTGAACAAAACCTGTTTGCCTTCCAGTACCTGGGAAAAGTGTACTACCGCTCTTTCAAGGCCATCCTGCCTGGACAGGAAATGCTGGTTTGGTACGATGAAAAATACCCACAATACCTTGGCGTCCCAAGCTCAATCTTCGATATGGGTCCCTTGACAGCAAAAGGTAAATTTTTTGTTGATATTTGGGTGCGGCAGAATATATTTTTGGGTACATTTTGTTACAGTAGAGTGCAATGTACGGGAAATTGATATATTGTTAACGTTTTCTCGATAGGAACTACAAAACAGCCAGAAAAGTTCGGCACTGTCCTTACGGAAGAAGGCCGGGTGCCATCTGAGACACAATATCCACCCACCCCTCCCAGCTCAGTGCCTTCTCCCTCCAGTCCTCCGCATTCGCCAAACAGTCAGTCAGGGAGTCAGCAACAGCCATCTCCGACCAGAGCAATCAGTGGTGAGCCGTTCAACGGTATTCAGAGCGACGTTCCTTCTGCCTTCGACTTTACGTCTGCTGTGACTGGCCCTGAAAAGCCACAGCACCTGATGCTTCAGGAGAAGTTGGTGGTTAATCAGTCTCACCCGCTGCCATCGCCAGAAAGTGAGACCAGCAATCCTGCCTCACCCATCCCTACTGAAGATGGACAGAACAAAACTGCAAAACCAAGTCAACCCGTATTCAGCAACATCACTGAGCTGAGCCTGTGGAAGTGCGGCCAGTGCAAGAAGTCCTTTCCACAGAGAACCATGCTCCAAGTTCACGTCTGCAATGAGGCGCCAAAGAAGCCATATCAGTGCGGACACTGCTCGCAGAGCTTCTCACATCCCGCCCAACTGCGCGCGCATGCTGTCAGTCATGCCAGTAAGAAGCCATTCAAGTGCGGCTACTGTTCGCGTGCGTTTGCCGGGGCTACCACTCTGAACAATCACATAAGGACACACACTGGTGAGAGACCGTTTGTGTGTGACAAATGCGGCAAGAATTTCACTCAAGGATCACAGCTTAGCAGACATCAGAGAATCCCTGGCGACTGTGTGGCCCGCGTTTAGAAGAAAATAAAAGAAACACTATGTCAGTGTGGACTAACACTGGAGTGTTGATCGGAAACGCTTATAGCCCAGATCTCGTCAACTGGAGATATTTTTTTGTGAATATGGTGTAGAAAAATGAAAGAATGTAAAAACAAGGACACTAAAGAGTAAAGACCTTCCATAGTTTATAATAAAAGAGCCAATGACTACGATATTAGCCATTTAGTTTTGAAAATTAATCAGGACAAGGAGCGTCTTTCATTTTTGAAGCTTATGAATGCTTGTAAAAGCACTTTAACTTCGTGGTTTTATTCTGATCATTGTACAACAAATGTAAATATTC